ACTAGAGAAAATGTCGTTATTTGGTTTCCCTCTTCATTTCATATACGTTAATGATTACTTGAACGAGACAGTAAAAGATTGTCAGAAAAAAACAACTGCAACATTTTTTTTTCATAATTCACACGCATACTTTTCGAATGGGATGTTTGCTTTTCGTAATTACACATACATTTGTGAAATTTGTGTTTAAACTTTAAACTATGCACTTATTATTTCGTCACAGTTTCATAAAAACCTTTTTTGTCAATAATTCAGAACAAAAGCTCAGAAAGAATTTATGTGTTTTTATTGATTTAATTCATATTACTCATTGATTCCTCAACAATATATTCATTTAAATAGGCTATATTATACTAGAGCAATATGTTCATAAAACTTTTTTCTTGTTCTTTTTTCCTTTTTACGATATTTCCCTTTTGGGATTTACTAATTTTGGTTTCCTTGATTTAAAAACACCATTGAGTATGACTTCTTTCCTATCTCTTCATTTTTTTTTTATTTGTATTTCTCTCGTGAAGCGAGATACGAAATGATGTCTGATAAACCGATAGAAACCGATCGCATGAGAACACACAATAGCCCACGACTGTTAAACATCAACTAAAAATTGCATCAAAACTGTTACTCAGAATTGGCATTGATGTCTGTATTGCCGCTCAATAATCGTTCCGTATGGCGAGAGTCGTAGTTCCAATGACTTTTCCGCTACGAATTCATACGGCGCACACTCTCTCAATCAGTTGTGTCGTCTCTTTCTATCCTTTGCGAATAATTTAGTATTTGTTCGAGCTTACCATCTGTTTTCTTTCGACATTTTGTCTACAATGCTAAGCTCGCTCTTGCGTCACCTGAAATCGTATTTGACTATGACGTAAACTTTTATTGAATTTGCTTTGTGGTAAACGAAAGAACATATCTCTCTCTATACTGTGTCACGTGATTGCGTAGGAGAATCAATATATTTTCTTCGAAAATAGGAGAGTAACGAAAAGCATATTAGAGTAACAGAAAGCTCAACAAATCACTCACGTGTATTTGTTTTCAATAACAAAAAAAAGCAAATAGGGTGAACTGTACCAAAGAAATGTACGTTGACTACTAAATCAATTTTGTAATATATCGAATTGTCGGTCAAACTTTTGATATATCAAAATAGATTGATATGCTATGGCGATATAATTGGCCGGCGCCTATTCTCGGCTGATATGCAGATGTAAACAGTTTGCATCGAATTCTGATCCAAGGAATTTGTTTTTTTTTTACTAAGTGCAAGGGTATTTTTTAGAATACATCAAAGCGGACGGCATTTCGCGCGAGTGACGAAACCACATTAGTGTTTTTTAGGCGACGCAATATTAACATTTTGTATGTATATGAACGAACGCGTCACCGAAATTTTATATCAGAACATTTCCAGATTTACAGTATTGCGTCACAATGGGATTTTTTTTAGTATTTCGATGACGAAATTCTAACGCTAATTCTAAGTGTGTTGAGATCCGATTTTATCGTAAAATAAATGTGAAAATAAGGGGGGGCCAAGCTCCCAATTGGGGG